GTGTGTGTGTGTATATAAAATAAACCCTGGTTGCCCCTAAAAGCTCTAACTACTGTCAAAAGTAAAGTTCAAAAGTTAAATTTTTCAATGTCTTTTATTTACTGGAAAGGAGGCTATGTTGTAAATGTCACCTCTGACATCAAGATGACTCAACCATCACTTATTTCAGAGAAAACAAAGCCTAAATCCTGACTTAAGTTCTCAACAGAATAATTTTGAGAGCGAAGCTATTAATGAAAGGTGTACAAGTGACTGTTAAGACACAAATCTTCAGAATTGAAACCTGTTTTAATTTTTGAAAAGATATCTAAAGAAGTTTAAAAGTGTCTGAACAGCACAGATCCTAAATAATTTATTTTCTGACGCAATACCAATAGCTGTAAAGCTGTTCAAAAAATAAATTAGAAAACAAATTATGGAAATTAACTAGTTAAGACAATTAATCTCAGCTACTACAAAGTACACCAGTCTGTATTACTTTTGTACTATCCGCAAGCAAAACAGCACTTCACTAAAACACCTTGTTTTGTTTCCCCCCAATAAAAAAAATGAGGTTTGGTGTTCTGATTAAGAGCCCGATACTCATTACAATATACAGAATGCTTTAACCAAAAAGAAAAAAGAAAATAGTTTCACTAGTGTCCCAAACTCTGGTCAAAGAGCAAAAGCTGAAGCAAGTTCCTGTCAGAGATGTTGAACACACCCTCTCAGCAGTTGAGGCCACTGAGGTTTTCAAACTGAGAAGTAACAACAGCAAAATTCCAAGAAATCCTCATCAGTCTCTATTCTTGGGCACATCCTCCACCCTCGCCACCAGGGTCCTGACAATCTCTTCTTATCCAACCTAACACATCCATATTTAAACAAAAGGAGAAGACCAGTGCCATTCATCTAACTTCTTCTGCCCGCTACCTTTTACCGTTAACTGGAAGAGTAGCAACTGTCAAAGACTCCAGCAGGGTCCCAGTCTCAGCAACAGTCCACAAACTTCTGCATCAGAGTTTAAAATAAAACTGTAAATAATTAAAAATGTATAGAAGGTGCAACAAGGGAAATCATATATTCATGAGGCTATCATTTCACATCATGGTACACTTACAATTAACAGCTCATCACCATCAAAAAGAAAAAAAAAAAGTTGAGAAAAAGAGTGAGAATGAGGTTCATCGTCCCTGCTCCCACACTTTTATTCTTGCTTTCCTTTCTTGACATTTTATTCAATACCACATGCTCCAACTCTTGCCTATGCTGGCAAAAAATTGGTAGGATAATATAAACACTAATATTTCAGAGTACTGGGAAATTTTGAGCACTAAGCCAATGTCCCAGCAGGCTGAGCAGCACCAGTCCAGGCATCTGCCACATTTGCCAGAAAACAGATTTGCCAAAGCTACTTCCTACAAGTGATTAAGTGTAACCTACCTGCTAGTAGTTTAAAAAGGTGTCTCAAATATACTCAAACCAAACTTCCATTTTTTTCAGAAAGCCCAGGTTCCAGAGGCTTCTCACCAAAATACTAAAGAGGGACTAACCTAAACCAATGATACCTTTGTAGAAAAGTTTCAAGAAAGAACTTACCTAAGCTTCAAATTTCCATAATTTATACTAAACGTAGAGAAGCTAATTTTCACACACTGTAAAAAATTTGAATTATCATAATCCTATGCATGTTGAAACACAAATTCATTATACTGAAGTCATCATCTTCAATCTGAATACTTTGAAAAGTTTACAGCCTTCCTTTTGCAAGGAAAGGGCATCTTTATAATGAGGTAAAATGCCCCAGAGCAAGTATTTACTTATAATAAACCCTTTCCCATGTATTTTGTTCCATCAGCAATATAAATGTCAGTGACACGACATAAGAAATCCTATTAAAAAATTAAAACATTCATTTTTATTAAATTTGATTTCTATTTTTAGTTCCAGAAAGCTCTTGCCCTTTGATTAAAATTCTCTTTAATCTTGAGATCAGAACTACTATCACTTCAAACTCCCTGCAGTTGACTGTCATATAAAACATTCAAAAAGCCGGATTTTGTTTTTTTCTAGTCGTTAACAACTTCATTCTTTCCAAAAATTTTCTAAGTAAGACCTTTGGGGCTAGATTCTTTAAAGACCTCAGTAACTGCTTAAGCATTACTCAGTATGTATCTGTACGTATCCATAATACACAAAATCTCAGGAATTAGTCTGCAAAACCCCTGCAAAAAGTTATATGAATATGTCTCACTTTCTCACGCATGTAAGCAACCATAAAAAGGAGAGAAGTGACAGTTACTGAATTCTCAGTGTTAGGATCTCTTTGTTGGCACTTTAAATGAAGGCAACCCTACCAGATGATCCTCCTCACAACAACAATAAAAAAAAAAAGTTGACCAGTTCTTTTATTAAACACTGAGAATCGCTTCTTATAGTGGTTTTTAGAATGGTTAACTGGAGACATAGTTACGTCAGGTCTGAACTTCAGCAGCTCTGGCCTATCTCAGATCACAGTTCTGACAGGCAGAACCACTACCTAGAAAATGCAAGACAGAAATTTATTTGACTAACTTTCCTAGGGTATCTTAAGCAATTAAACTCCCAGAGTAGAATTTCTATCTGTTTACCAATATAGAAACTCAATTGTAACATCAGAACTTCATTCAAGACCATTCCCTTTCCTAACAGGTGGAGTACCAAGAATGATTTCCATCTGGTTTTATGCACAATAAGGCAATTAAAGGCTGCAATTTCTAACAGAGATGTAGGAAGAGGATAGTTCATCTTCATTTCCTTTTAAAAGCCTTTTACAAATACAACATTGAGAAAAAGAACACAACCTTTACAGCAGCCTCACTTTTTAGTGGCCCCTACACAGCACCACAGAGTTTAGACCCATTTCAAATATGTATGGAATTCCTTAGTAATATTCAAATGTTTTATACACGATAGTGCAAGGAGGCATTAATTTTGCTTACATTCCCACCAGAATTTGAAGGTGGGGGCAGGGGAAGCAGAAGCAGAGAAGTAGATTTTCAATGAAATGAGGCTTTGTTGACTCAATAGATGTAAGAAAGTAATACCTTCTTATTCATTTTGACACATTAAAGGCACATTCAATAGCGCAGAACCAAGCCATACTCCTAGCTACTTCCAGCAACCTGCAAAGATTAATTTATTCTCACAAGCCTGAAAGCTGATGCTGTGACAGGACAATGTAAGACTGGGGAATAAGCAACGGCTCCACAAACACACTGTTTGCTGGAAGGTCTGTTGAACCAAAGAATGACATTTCTAACAGTCTCTCGAAGACCCAGGAAAGCCCATGTGTTACTGTTTAGCCAGACAAATTCATTCTCAATACTGCACAAGTCATCTTTCATCAACATGCCAGACCTTTCGATCCAGCAACACATAATGTGTGTCAGCCACACAGAATATTTAAGTTCTTCTAACTGATCTGTATCTCAAAAGAATTTTTTTTCAATAGTCTGGATTGTACGTTCATTTTTATCAACTCAAGTTCACTCTGAAAGCTACAGGCAAAGCTGGAGCTTTCTAACAAAATAGTTCATAGCCGTAATGCAAAACTTTATTGAAATCATTAATGCAGAAACTGCAATAGACATTTTCCTTTAATCCATTCAGACACAGGAAGTCGTACGTAACAGCAGGAATGCTTCTGTAATATCCCTAAAGCATCTCAAAAACACCAGCTGTTTATCTGCGCAGATTTGGTACTTTCAAGGTTTTTCACAAGTTGGTAGAACAAGAACGAGTTTTAGTCAAAAGGAAGAAAAAGTAACAAGAGTGGAGTATTTACAGAGTCTTGGACAGAACTTCTGCATTTTCCACAGCATATACTTAGTGAGCCAAAATCAAATGGTCTATAAAATGAGTGCAATTTACACGTATGTGCATGCATAAAGTCTCTGTAAAAATAAAACTCTTATTTGATTGTACATCATTTCTTTTAAAATTATATACAAAACCATCAACACAGTAGGTAATTATTAACTACTGTATCTAGTATCAGATTTTTATTATTTTTTGCTTTTTTTAAAAAATAAATCATAGTCTTGGTTACACATAATATGCACAAACGAGTGGAATCAAAATGATTTTTAGTGTGCACAAGCATACAACTACGTGTCAAAAATAGACTTGCAAAGTAGAAGTGTATTATTTCCAACCCAATGTGACAATTACACAATAAGTTACATTCTTAGGGAACAGGATTTTCATATTTTGATTATCAAAATGCAATTAAGTCCTCAACCGCTATCTTAAGTATTCCTTAAATGCATATCTTTTTAACTTTCACGTAGTTTTCCAGATGTCAATATTCATGAAATGAACCAAGTCCCCAGGTCACTGTGGTTTGCTTCGGTAACTACAGCATAAAGCCAAGATCTTAAAAGTAGTTAGTAGATTGCAAAGGTTCTATATCAAAGTTTATGAATAAAGACACGTGTTGACCAAAACTACTTTCCAATTGAAGTCACCAGTCTGATGAGAAGGGATTGCACAGCCACTGCTTTCCTACCACTGAAACCTTTAAGGAGCATTATCACACAGTTCATCACTCGGACATGAAAGAAACCGAAGTAATTCTGACCCGAGTGCTATTTGCCCTGAGGGACAGATGAGACATACAACTGCTATATCTGAAGAATATAGACCGGATCTAACCCATCCAAAATCTTGATTCAAAAATATCTGCTATCAGCTTTCATAAACATTGTTAACTTACCTCCATAATTACAAAATTTTCAGTTAAGTGCTGGTTGAGTGAAGCAGACGAAGCTTCTCTTGCTGCAGCATGAAGTTACATCACTTAACCCTCATTTCTGTGGCATGCACACTATTCTCCAGGTTCAGAAGTCCTGTGTGGTTCTTTTTTTAAAGCCATAAATGTGCTTTATATTCTTTACAGAGAAGTACTAAAACTATCTTAAAGAGAATTTTAAAAAACAAGAGGCCCATGTAACACAACACAAATGAAGAAAGTAACATACTTACAGCTTCAAATGATAAGTTAACATATTCCAGGAATTTCTGTCTTAAATTCTCAGTTAGTTCATTGAAGCGATACCGCAAGAGATCCATTTCTTGTTGAAGAAACCAACGCCTGAGATCCTCACTGCAAAAAAATAATAAAAAACCCCCAACATAATATGTTTCCTGATTACGCAGTCTCTCTTTCTTTATAAACTAGATGTCACACCTGGTGAACAAAACATCCAATGTAATGCTGGCTCTGCCATGGGACCCACAGAGTGAGAAGCTTGAAAGAGAAGGCAGGAAACCTTCAGGCAGGAGCACTCAATCAGAAAAGCTACGTAAAGAGGTAATACACACGTAAGCATGACTGTGGATGCTTTGGAAGAACAGAATAATCAAGCTCAACAGTAAAAATTGTTCTGTAGATATCAAAGCCGTTAGTTTCTTTTAAATTATACCATTTTCCCACCTCAAGGGAGGTGTCCCCTGCCCATGGTAAGGGGGTTGGAATTGGATGATCTTTAAGGTCCCATCCAATTCAAAATCATTCTATGATTCTAACATTTCTGACTTGGTTTAGCTGAGAATAACCATCTGCAGGTAACATTCTCCGTCGATATTTAAAGGACAGCTTTTTTTCTTTCAACATGGCACAGTATTTCTTCCTTGTACAATTAACATCACAATCTGATGAGGCAAATACGTTATGAAGCCTACTTCTTTTAATTCTCACTTTTGGGGTACCTCCAGCTGAAGGAACATGCACACATCTCAGATACTGTAACAACAGTGCCCCACGCTAGGCAACAAATAGCCTGGAAGAGGCAAAAGGAAAATATATGACAATGAACTTGACAATGAAGAACGCAAACAGAACACCTAACACGTGAAAAAAGAGCAAAAGGGGTTTAGCAACTCCTGGTGAGCAAGCAGAACGAACCAGAGCAGACATCATAAAAGAAAAAGGACACTGAAGCCAGTCTCCAAGTACTCTAAGTACTCTTACTAATAACTCTTCACACCCCAGCACTCAATATTCCCAGTCACCAGCACATTACTCAAAGCTATAGCAAGTACGTACCAGAACACTAGTTAAAAAAGCCACCCTGTAGGTGCAAGCGCAGGGTGCAGATGATATGTATCTTGCTATTACAGGGCATTGTTTTCAACTGTCCTCTGAGAGCTACGCTATGGGCTGCTGCCACGACAGCTCAGAGAGCACAGAAATACTGCAGTCTTACATGTTGTCCTTACATTATTTAAGCATCTTCTCTCATAGGGGAACCAAGTGAATTACAACAGAGCTCTTTGTGGGTTTGAGGACAAAACCTTTGCTTGAAATATGGCTTGGAGAGGAGTAACTGTTACTCAAATTATCATTCCAGATGGAAAGGCTCTGTCAAGGTGCTGTGTAAAGCATAACTGTGCAGATAATTTCAGTGCTTGGGATGTATAAATACTCTGTGCAACTTAAAAAGGAAGTTAATGTCTTTATGATTAATCTGTGATCATCTTGGACACAAAATCTTAGGATGGGACAGTTCTATTCTTTTCCTAATTCATCAGCTTTACACTGCATTTGTTCTCCTAGTAATAATAAAAAATAATTAAAATCAAGTATGCAGTTACTTTGGAAGTCAGCCAGTCTCTTGTTCCTCCTTTCTTCAGGAGAGTAGATGAAAAGCTGTAACTCCACCTACCCCCTTCGGTTACCAAAACAAGAAAATACCACTGCTATCTCTAATGTAACACACACACCTACCTGGATTCCTCCTACAGCTGACAAAGTAGCTGATGAGCTGGTTTACTTCCGTGGATATGTCCAGCATATACTTAAAACTGACTTTCCTAGGAACATCTTCATTAGGGCATTACTTTTCCTTATGTCTTCAAGAAAATTCTACACCATTTCTAAACCAAAATCACATCTTACTATTAACATTTTAATAATTCGTACACACTCATTCCAGACACACGTTAGTAATAATACTTGTTATGAAAACCACAAGTTTAAGTGAAAAGCAACGTCATCACTGTCATTAGTTCACCAGCCAAGCTGCTGCCGAAGATGAGGCAGTTGCAGGTAGCTGAAGTGCAAACATTAGGAATGCCTCCTTGGTTTTTTGCCATTTTTTTTGTGTGCAGTGTAAATCAGATCAGTACACTCCTGACTAGAAAAATAATACGAAAAACAGGCTCTTTCATATCAGGGAATAACATTCTGAGAGAAGGGAGCAGGAAATCCTCTTTGTCCCCCAAGGAGTGACAGGAAAGACCATCATGTTTGGTCAAGCAGCAACATGGAACTACTTTAGAAAGACATGAAAATGTTCCTAAATGTGGAACCTAAAACTAGTAGCTCACGTTCCACAATTATATATGAGAGTTCTGTTACCAGCAATTTAACGTGTAAAGCCTGAACACGGGCCAGAGCTCTATTTTACCAGCAACCAACACCAGAAGATTCCTCAGTTTAAGTTTCAAACGGTAGACAGCAAAGAGAACATGGATACACAAAGCACAGGAAAGTAAATGCTAGTCAGCATAAGAGGTAGCAATTTCAGCTCACAAGCCTAATTTATTATATATAAAATAAGTAA